ATTATATATGTCATATATCTTGTTGAATATTTCATACGTTTTATCGATGATTTCACGTCTGATTTGCTATTTATTTTCTTAGTTTTAATTTTCTTTATTTCTTTTTCTTATTTTTTATTTTGAATATTTTGATTTATTTTTTACTCATAACAAAGAAGAGAGAATGAAAACCCTAAAAAAAATGAAACAAAGATGTAAATATGAAAAGTATGATACGTTCTACGAAACAATATGTTTAATAGACAAAGCTGATATGCCTCGAAAATAATTTTGTGTGACTTTACAATATGTACTGAGATTGAGATAGAGATTGCTATTTGAGATTGCTACCAAAGAAAGAAACGCAAACAAAAATTCAATGGTTTATAACTGTGCGGAGATGCTGGAAGGATGACAAAGAGTTTGTTTCGCAAAATTGTCTAGTAAAAATTACAAATGAAAATGTACTGTAAAATTTAATTGCTGTTTTGCGAGACCAACTGTTCCTTTCAGGATCTGCGTGCATTTAATCTCTGCATAATTGAATACACTCTCAAATCTCCTGTGCTTAGTTCCAGCTAATCAGTATTCCGATAATCACAAAAATAGCGAATGCATAAGTAAAAAAAAAAAATTGTTTGTCTCGTGATTATTCTCGCGTTATCAGCAAATATTTAACTTAGAACGTGGATTACTTAATATACTTATATAAAACTTAACGTCGCACAATCGTGTCATACATATTTAGATGTAGTTTCTAATTTCGTTACCGATATGCTCAGAAACATACCGGAGACGAATGGATAATACCTCCGGTGATTAATGATAAGGATAAGTCATTACAGAACGCTCTGAAAAAGCGTTGTGAGATGTCGTCCTATCAATTGCAAATTTTATTCTAGTTTATAGAGTATTTCTTTCATTTTTTTTTTGTCAATAAAGTATTACATAACTGTCTCGTTCGCGAAAAAAATTGTTTTGTTAATATATTCACTGTAAAACGTTACATTACTCATCTAAAGAAGTAAAAAATCGAATATTTTTAATTTACAGTTGATAGCTTCATCTCGTAGATTTCTATTATTTACGTTTATTGACCTTTGTAAGGAATATAAATAAAATTAGGATAGATAGATTCATAGCAATCCGTAAGTATTTGGTATCACATATAGTAAGATCAGAGAAATATATCTGTCAATTAAAAAAGTAATTATATTAATGTGAATTATATAAGGAACAGTCTAACATTAACTACTTACGTAGAGTCAGGAACTTTTCGCGACATAGTCTTAAGATCTAGGATAAACGCGTATATATATTCTTGCGGTAATCATTAATTACCCAGATAAATAATCATTGAACTCTAGATAAACTTGATATGAACTCGATATCGAATTGAAAATTCACGACAAGGATGATTTGTACTTTGCCCGTAGTAACGATTAAAATTAAATTCTCAGCTGTCTGAAAAATACATTTCGAATGAAGATATTTAAGATACATTTCGAAAAAAAAAGACGCGCTTTCTGTAATACGCAACAGAATTGTCCGAGTAGAGTATACACAAACGTATTATGCTGCTTTTGAATGCTTCTCGAATGTTGCTTACCTGAATGTTACTGTTTCTGTTGTTTTTACGTTTGTGTTCGAATTCTACGCTTTTTGGTCAGCCCTGACATACACGGTACACGTCCCAAGATTCTCCCATTGTTCACGTTGAATTTCTATTTGGCGCATTGTTACTGTTATAATAAGCCGTCGAATGTTATACGTAAAGACGATTGTTACATTTTTCATTTCCCTTTAATAGGCCTGTTTAAATTTATTACTTTATCGCATGTTTTCCGTTATATCAAAATTTCGGACATTATTACATTGTCAAAAAAATTATATTTAACGCTGTTGATTCTTTGTTGATTGTGTACTGTTGATACACCTTTTTTCGTGTTGTATCATTGTCATCTCATGCATCCACATAATTGCTATCGAATACTCTCTTTTTGTATTAAAAAATTCATTAATTCTCTCACATGTCCAAACATGATATTTTCATTAAATTTGAATATATATTCTAACGATATTTTACGTTTAATGTTAGCAAGAAATAACAATATTCATAGTAAATAAAATAGCAACAAATTATAGAATTATACTCTTTGAGTTTTCATTATCATCATAAAGTATTTCAATATAGAAAAAAAAATCTTGCATTACATGATATTATCTAAAGATCGGCAGATATCCTAAAATGCATATATAATTTACAAATTTGAATTCAAAAAAAGTTGAAGTTCCAAATCCATCTAAATTCTTATCACGCATCTCACCGTCATTGTTGTTGTTAAAAATGCATACAAGTGGAAAGTGTGTTCTGCATCTTGCATTAAATTTTGGTCAGTTGAAGTTATTAGTTTTTGTCCATCTTAAACATATTATTATAATCGTTACTTACAATTTTCGTTATTTGATGCCATTTTTGTTTACCCTACCCATTTGTTCGATCCTTATTATTATGATTATGATTATTATTATTATTATTATTATTATTATTATTATTATTATTATTATTATTATTATTATTATTATTATTATTATTATTATTATTATTATTATTATTATTATTATTATTATTATTATTATTATTATTATTATTATTATTATTATTATTATTATTATTATTATTATTATTATTATTATTATTATTATTATTATTATTATTATTATTATTATTATTATTATTATTATTATTATTATTATTATTATTATTATTATTATTATTATTATTATTATTATTATTATTTTTATTAATATTATCTTTATTACTATTTACTATTTAGATTTTATTACGAGAGCATTACATTTCCAGATTGCTTTATTACTGTTGACGGCAGGGCGATTAATCAAATCAATTCCAATTGGGCAATTAATAATGATTACGCTTATATTTCTTTCCTGGCATATAAATTTTATTTGTGCGACTTGCTCGATGTTGTGAATACGGGTCCCAAACAAGCACGGTAAAAAAAGTGTTTTCCGAAAATAGATATATACGCTTGAAAATTTTTCAAATAAGAGTTTATAAATTTTGTGCGTAAAACGTGAAAACTCATTAAACTTTTATCTTTCTTGGAGTAAGAGTTTATAAAGATTCATAATGGAAAGCAATCGATAATTTCCATGATGTATTCCAACTATATATGATAAAAAATTATATTTAATTTATAAATTCTAATTAGATTATCGATCAACGATAATCCTCTAGCGTCTAGAAATTCCGCGACAAATATTTAATCGTCAAAAATACTTGGTCAGCCACCATAACGCGCGTATAATCGTTGTTGTTAATTAATTTTGTTATCTTTTATATCCTTGATTATTGTTATACGAAATTGCGTTTTGTTGTTAAGTTACCATTGATACCTCTGAAAACCCACACCGAGAAGTTGCCTGCCCGTGTTTTCAGTTTTTGTTCTTGAAGAATTAGAGAAATTGTTTTATTACTGTTAATTAAACTAGCACCAAAAGCAAGCATAATTCGCGCTCTCTTAAGATTAAAGAGCTAAGACTTTAATCGGCGAAATACAAATCGATCATCAGTTTGATAACGATTTAAAGTTACATATATCGCTAAATAACATAATGCATTAATCAAATCACAATTGTAAATATCATTCCAGCGGATATTATTTCAGCAAAGATCACGTTGCAAATTACTAATTTAATTCTAATTTGCATACTGCTTAACGATTGTCACTGCCTGATTTTTGCGAAATTTAAAATACTTTGGTTTCACCATGTAGTGCCTTATTTGATAGATTTTAATCTACGCATATGTTTTATAACACATACTGTCTCTCATTATATAAAATAATATAATAAGAACTTAGAGTTCTAATAACTAAGAACGTATATATGTATTCTCGTATAAAAAGAATAATGCGCTTATGACATATGTGTATAGAATATATAAGTATATTTAACAAATAAACACTGTATATATAATATCCAAAATGCATTTTTTAATATCCGGTAAATGTCATATACTTTCCCTTATAACAAATACTCAAATAACAATCTACAATTAATAATTAATCATTATCGATGACTTGTCAACGACTGCAATTAATTACAAGCGGCCAAATTATACAGGAACACTTGTTTTCTATGAAAAGATGAGTTATTCCAATGCCATAATTATATTTTTCTTACAAACTGGCTAATAACTACAACATTATATATTATATTAGGTTGATATAAAAAATGTATATTCTCTGTAAATTATATATTTATCTACAAGTAAATAAAATATATTGTACATATATAGCACAGTTATTGACTTCCATGCAAATAAAATTCGTTTATTGGAAAATATATGTTATTCTTTATCTGTAGTCTAAAGCAGCAAACTAGACATTTCGTAAAGTCATAATATTGTTGTACAATACATGATTAATGATATCACGGAATCAAGAGTAATAAATATCATATCAATAATGATAATATTGCTCTAAAAATATTAAATTTCTCTTTCTCTCTCTCTCTCTTAACACTATAATAATATAATATAGTCTAAATAAGAGCAAAATAAAAGAAACAAAAAATGTATTTTAAAACAATTTTTTGTCATAAAATAACGTAAATGCTGTATAAAAATATTTATAGGAGCTTATTTTCTTATATAATTATATAAAAAATAAAAAAGAAATATTATATATATATTGAAGCATTATGACAAATAAAAAAAAAAAATTCTGATTGTTAAATCGGCCGAATAATGGCCCAAAGACCACCTTCTGCCGCAGGCAAAAAGGTCGAAGTCACCATCTTCAAAGGTACACGAGTCTTCGGGGAAAGTTCAAGACTATACTTCCTTAGAAATGTAGCCAGACATGCTTTCATTTGTAACTGAGCCATTCTCATCCCCACGCAGATTCGCGGACCCTCGCCGAAGGGAAGGAAAGTGAATTTCTCGATGCTGTGTTTTCTGTCTGGACCGAATCTTTCGGGATCGAATACTTCGGGACGCTCCCAATACCGAGGATCTCCCTGCAGTCCTTGAACGGGTATTAGAATTTGCATTCCGGGTTCAATGCGACAAGCGAGTCCATCGGATCCTTTGAGTTCGATCTCTTCTGTACAATTCTTATTCAAAAATCCCACTGTAGGAACGATTCTCTGTGATTCGCTTATAACTTGATCCATGTACGTCATATCTTTTAGAGCATCGTAAGTAATCACGCCATCGTACTTATTGAGCACAGAGATCACTTCCTCGCGTAATTTTGCCTGTACATCCTGATGGCTAGCTAATTCAAAAGCAACGAAGCTCAAAACTGTACTAGAGGTCTCATAACCGTCAATGAAAAACGATACTGCGTGAGACGCAAGAATATTCATGTCAATCTTAGTACCTTCTACCCGTTCCAAATCAACCATCAACTGAAGAAAGTCGTTTCTGGTTTTCTCTTCTGTTCTTCTTTGTTCTATAACATCCGCGAGTATCGTTCTAAAGAAACGATCGGCTCTCTTTGGTAAGAAAGGCATCCTAAAAATTTTACTCAGCGAAGGCAAAAAGAAAACAAGTATAAAGGTAAAGGTATTCACACCGGACGGTTGGAGGAACGACTTGCCCATCGCGTAGAAAGATTCATGCTCTTTCTCCTCGTTGAAGCACAATCCGTCTACGCCAAAACCAACTCCGGACACAACTTGCGCAGTAAATCTGGCAAATAGATCTTTTAGCTCCAATTCGATCTTTCCGACTTTGCTCAATTTTCTATCCAGGAAGTTCTCGAACTGTACGCATACTTGCTTGACGCTCTCAAGTAGAATCTTCAGTCGCATGCTGGAGAATGCATAAGTCAAACGCTTTCTGTTAGTTGCCCATTTCTCGCCGTATGTAAAGAATGGATTGTTTGCCAGAAGAGGATCCAAATCAGGATCGATTTTAAAGCCGTTCTCGTGGAAGTTCGCAAAGTTGGTTTGCAACACCGTCTTTACTAGCTCTGGTTCAAGGACCATCAACGCCGGTGATCTGAAGTTGTAGATTCCCACCATACTGTGACTCCGATTATTGTTGTAAATATTGCGACAACACTCTGAGAAGGTGATCTTCATGGTGATGAAATCCCAGAAATGACCAATTCCAGGTAAAGCGCCATTCGGGCAAGGTATTTTACGTTTCTGCCAATAGTTGAAATTCTTTGTTAAATAAAAGTAGAGAATCAGTAATGCTATGAGAATCAAGGATACGACCGCGATAGCCATTTCTGCTTCTCATAAAAGATCTAGTGATACTGAACGATCAAACACTTGACTGCGTTCTGTTTCATGCATAATGCGCATTATCCTTGTTTAACATTCGGTGAACAACAAGGATAAGTACATCATGCATGAAACGGAACGCAGCCTATGACAACTACGACTGTTTCTCCCCTCTAAAGTCCACCAACACGCACAAAGTGCGTGTAGCAAATAAACGAGCAAGCTGCGTATCAATGATAACGGATGACAACGTAGCTTAATCTTAGTTAGTATTATGTAACGTAATTTCTAATGTAAATTATTTATTCGTATATTGTGCATATGTAAAATGTTATTTACCATCGTTAAAGTTTTACTAAAATTGTTCTTAATAGAAAAAAATATCCGTTATTTTCTTCTTTATCAATGAAAATTTATTGATATTAATACTAAATTTTAGTTTGACCAAATTCTAGTTAATTTAATTAATGATTAATTTAACTAGCAAAATTGTCTACAGCAAAATTTCTAACTATATAATTTTTCGTTTTTGAAATGTGATCCTTGTTTATATGTAAAATAATAAAAAAATCATAATTCTATTCACAATAACAAAATAATATTAACAAAATGCGCACATATTACATTGCATTAATAAAATGCGTTACATTACTTATTGTTAATAGTCGCCGATCAAATTGAAATTAGAGAGTTTATTTAAGAAAGAAAGAAAAAAAGAGACAAAAAGAGATGTTCCTACAATTGTAACTATTATTAACTTTTGTTGATATTGACATTGAGATATTTTCTTTGCACTATACGAGAAGCTTCTTACTATATGAGAAATCAGAACGAGTCTCTGAGTAGTGCAAATGCTATTATCCAATAAAAAAGTGACATACATTCTATAATACATTACATTGTGTATATCAAGTTAAAGACATATCCAATATTAGTTGTATTTAACGAATTTGATGAATTCTTGCATAAATTTTCTCTTTCATCGTACATATTATTAATTTACGCCTTAACGTCATGTTATTGCAACCAACAGTGATAACAGAATGTATCAATCTGTTTTTTATTAGATAAAGTTAAGGTCAATCTGTTCAAGAAAGTCAAGTGATGATTTTTTCACATCATGATTATTATTATATCTCGATAACAAAACTGCAAGTTGTACCGCATGAGATACGTGCGGTACTTGAATAACAAATTTATATGTGCAATTTCATAATAATCATTAATTTTCTATTTATTACTGTAAAAATTTTGTAATAAATTATTTTCTTTCTAACTAATAAAAGATTAAAAATTATTTATATATAATTGCAAAAAAATATGGTTAGTATTTTACTGTAATAAAATTCACTTGAATAAAAGTGAATAATCATCAATGTGAACTTTATCAGTATTTATCTTTGCAGCCTCTCTCGTTCACGAACTAATAAACGCGGTCAACATATACGCGCTTCATAGTAATTCTACTCTCTAACAATCAGTCGCGTCTATAATACGTGGTCAAGGGTAAATCACTCTGTGCAATTCAGTATCATTTATCACTCGAAAGAAACGAGATGGCTGTCGTGCTAATATCTTTGATCATCGGAGTACTTGCAGTGTTTTATTTTTACCTGACACAAAAAAATAAATACTGGCCAAAACGTGGAGTACCATGCGCGGATGGAGCCCTGCCGGGAGTCGGTCATATGTTGTGGGTGATTTGTATGAGAACGACCCTGCCGGAATATTATCGCAAAATTTACGAAGACAACATGAATCGTAGCATGATCGGATTTTACAACTTCACATCACCGTCGTTGATAATTATTGAGCCGGAACTGGTAAAAATAGTGCTGCAGACGAATTTTGCGAGTTTCTCCGAAAACACCTTTGATATTGATCCAGTCTTGGATCCTCTGCTATCACACAATCCCTTCTTCACTTCCGGCAATAAGTGGGTCATCGGAAGAAAGCGTTTGACCTATGCATTCTCTAGTATGCGACTGAAAATCCTGCTTGAGAGCGTCAAGTCGGTATGCGTGATACTCGAGAACTATCTCGATAACAAGCTTAGCAAAGTCGAGAAGATAGAGCTGGAACTGAAGGATTTATGCTCCAGGTTTACCGCACAAGTGGTGGCCGCCGCCGGCTTCGGCGTAGACGGATTCTGCTTCGATGATGAAAAAGAAGATACATCTTTCCGAAAAGCCGGCGAAGCCATTTTAAACAAGAATATGATTTTGTTTGTTCTTCTGTTTCTCATCCCGTCGTTAAGCAAAATCTTCAAGATAAGCTTCCTTCCGAAACACACCGATCATTTTTTCAGAACATTGGTCGCGGATCTTATGGAGCAACGACGAAAGGACGGTATACCCAGAAACGATTTCCTTCATTTAATGGCAGAATTGGAGCGAATTGAAGACGATAAATTTGATCTCGAAATGCTCGCATCTCATGCAATATCATTCTTCGTCGACGGCTACGAGAGCTCCAGCACTGTTATGAGTTTTGTTGGTTTTCAATTAGCTAGTCATCCAAAAGTGCAGGAGAAATTACGCAAGGAAGTCATGACTGTACTCGACAAGTATGATGGTGTGATAACTTACGAAGGCTTGAAGGAGATGACATACATGGACCAGGTTTTGAATGAGTCACAGAGAATCGTACCCATAACGGGATTCATGACTAAACGATGTACGGAGAAATTTGAGCTGAAAGGATCTGATGGGCTTGTCTGTCACGTGCAACCTGGAACGGAGATCTTGATACCCGTCCAAGGCCTGCAGAAAGATCCTAGGTATTGGGAAGATCCCGAAGTATTCGATCCTGAAAGATTCAGTCCAGACAGAAAACACAGCATCGAGAAATTCGCTTTTCTTCCTTTCGGTGAGGGTCCGCGAATCTGTGTCGGAATGAGAATGGCTTTATTACAAATAAAGGCTGGTCTCGCTACAATCCTGAGAAAATACAGCCTGGAGCTTTCTCCAAGGACGCAAGTACCCTTGAGAATTATTCCCGGGACCATCTTAGCAACGCCGAAAGGTGGTCTGTGGATCTTTCTTCAACAACTTTAAATGCATTAATCTTTTGAGTTACTAGAATCGTAACTAGACTTTTTTATTTAAAAATAAAATGTGTAGTTGTAAAAATAAAATTTATGTAATAAATTTATATTTGTCTCATTAAAAATTTTATATTTCTGTAATATATTCTTTTTTTATATGATTTATATGGTTTAATATAAATTATATGAGAATAAGATATATATTTGTACATATATATATTTCAAATTTTTCGAAATATTCGTTTAAAAATGTATCAAATTATGATTTAACGGGCAAACTCATTTAAGCTAAAAATCTTTATTCAATTACTTAATTATAGTTTCTAAAGTTTAATATACGATTGATAATGCTGGCGTCAAATAAGATTTATGATAATATTTTGTATTTATTTGTCACGCTTCTTATTGTTAGCTGCATATATTATAAATACACATGGTGCAAATAAATACATAGGAGGACTCTGTGTTGCGTAGCGTCACGCTATTTGCACGTTACATCACTGCGTATAATAATTCGCGTTTATATCCGTTATGCAGTGTCACTCTTATGATTTTACTATTGTAATAAATATCTATTTATTTTATTATATGTTAATGTAACAAACCTATCGCATTACCTTCCTCAGATTCTGATCTCGGTGAGCATGTTCGAGAAAATCTTGGTGAGCAGGTTCAGGAAACTTGTATCTCTCGTTATTGCAATACTAAAACAGTACACAATAAAAATTTATAATTAATTTTAGAATTTATATTAAATTTGAAGAGAGTATAAACATTAATGTACTATTTCATAATATATGTACATAGAATACATATTCTTTTTATTTTATTTTAATCATTATTAAAAGATTTTTCTAGTTTATTATTAACACAAAGTAGTCACTGCAAAAATTTTTCAATAAATTTCTTTTGTATAACCAACGGTTATCATTAATTAATTAATTTATTCTATATCGTATAATTGTAAAACAATTGCACGATAATGCACAAAATTGCACAAAATTGTACAATATGACGTAAAATTTAGTCAGTAACTACAGAAAATTATCAAAGCGAATTTTGATTATTTTTATCTGTGTAATCTCACTCACATTTATCAGCTAATCGACGCTATCCATGCGCACGCGCACATCAATGATTCTCTTCTCTCTAAAAGTTAATCGTAGTTGATTCGTGCTCAAGGCTACATCAATCCGTCTATTTTAATCATCCGTCATCCGCGAAGCGAAATGGTCGTGTTCGTGTCTTTAATATTCGTAGCGTTTATAGCCCTCTATTTCTACCTAGCGCGAAATAACAAGTATTGGCAAAATCGTGGAGTTTTCTGCGCAGATGGAGCCCTGCCGGGAGTCGGGCATATGTTATCAGTGCTCTGCATGAGAACAACTTTCCCCGAGTGTTGTCACAAAATCTACAACAATAATCGCGGTCGCAGTATGGTGGGAGTCTACAACTTTATGTCGCCATCGTTGATGGTCCTCGAGCCGGAGCTGGTAAAAACGGTGTTGCAAACTAATTTCACGAGCTTCCATCAGAATTTTCAAAAGGTCGATCCTGATTTGGATCCTCTGATGGCGAATCATCCTTTTGTCACTATTGGCGACAAATGGATAACCGGCAGAAAGCGTATGACCTATGCATTTTCCAGCATGAGATTGAAAATCCTGCTTGAAAGCATCAAGCCGGTGTGCGTGATGCTCGAGAACTATCTCGATAACAAGTTGAGCAAAGTTGGAAAAGTGGAACTGGAGTTGAAAGACTTGTGCTCCAGGTATACCACGCAGGTTGTGGCTGCCGCTGGCTTCGGCGTGGACGGATTTTGCTTCGACGACGAGAAAGCAGATGTGTCCTTCCGGAAAATCGGCAAACAGATATTCGAGCCTTCTATGCGGAACGCGATCATGTTTATCCTCGTAGTTCTCCTACCGCCGTTGAATAAAATCTTTAAAATTAGCTTCATTCCGAAGCATATCGATCGTTTCTTCAGAACGTTGATCGCGGATCTTATGGAGCAACGACGAAAAGACGGCATACCCAGAAACGATTTCCTTCATTTAATGACACAGTTGGAACGGATTGAAGGCGATAAGATTGATCTCGAGATGCTCGCATCTCATACATTATCATTCTTCATCGACGGCTACGGCTCTACCAGCACCGTTATGAGCTTCATTGGTTTTCAATTAGCTAGTCATTCAAAAGTGCAGGAGAAATTACGCAAGGAAGTGATGACTGTACTCGACAAGTACGATGGTGTGATAACTTACGAAGGCTTGAAGGAGATGACGTACATGGATCAGGTTTTTAATGAGTCACAAAGGATCATACCCATAGCAGCAGTTCTGCAAAAGCAATGTACGGAAGAATTTGAATTAAGAGGATCCGATGGGCTTGTCTGTCGCGCACAACCTGGAACGGAAATCTTGATACCCGTCCAGGGCCTGCAGAAAGATCCTCGGTATTGGGAAGATCCCGAAGTGTTCGATCCTGAAAGATTCAGTCCAGACAGGAAACACAGCATCGAGAAATTCGCTTTTCTTCCCTTCGGTGAGGGTCCGCGAATCTGTGTTGGAATGAGAATGGCTCTACTGCAAATGAAGGCGGGTTTCGCTGCAATCTTGAGAAAATACAGCCTGGAACTTTCTCCGAGGACGCAAGTACCTTTAAAAATGGAGCCCAACACAATCTTACCAACACCGAAAGGTGATCTATGGGTTTTTTTTCAACAACTTTAAATGTAAAAATCTTCTTTTGAACTGAAGTTATAACTAGGATTCTTATATATGTATGTCCAGAAGTAAAATGTGTAGCAGATCTTCTTGTATAAATATAAATTTCTTCTTAAAGTATTTCTTCTTTAAAACTGCTATATTTGTATATAAAAATTAAAAGAATTATAATGCGTAAAGAATTTTTCATTTTTATAATACATTCTTTTTTTATATAAATTCTGTATGTTATAATATAATTCCTTATATAATTTTTAATCATACTGTTTTCTAAAATAAATGCCAAGTCATAATTGAACAAACTGATTCATAAACCGAAAGAAGCTTTAATCAGTTAATCGTCGTAACGCTCAAATTAACACCTTAAGTATACAATAATTGATAACGTTCGGTGAAAGATACAAAACGATGGAACTTTTGTATAATGAATGTTTTGCTATCGATATGAATTTTCCCATTCTCGATATACAATATTGATATTTTTAAAAGATCGTCAATCGTGTTAATTTACTGCACGGATTTTAAACATTCGGAAGAAATAATCGCGTTTTTGATTTTCTAATATTTATCGTGAATGTATTTCAATAAATACGACGAAACAGTGGAATACTTGGCCTACCTGCTCATTTGATCGTCACCACGCGAATATTATAACTTTGCATGTATGTTAGAAATACGCGTATAAAATATTTTATCAGCATTTATATAAAGCAATAATAAAATTATATCAATAGTTTGAAGAAATTGTTTTGTTTTTTTTAGATTTACTAATTTATTTATACTAACATCTAATATTTGCTGATTTATATATAGTTAACACATATCAAATATATTTTCTTAAAAAACATATATATATATATATATATACAAAATTTTATATTTATATTGTACACACATAGCCACATATATATATAAATATATTTATACGAACAAAAAATATAACCTTGTGATGGGATTTTGTCTACCTGGTTATATCAAAGCAGATAGCGTTTTTTTCCTTCTGCTTAGAGACTACAACTATTGATTATCTATGAGATCCCTGGCATAACGAAGAAGAGATAACGAGCCGAAAAATTTACACTTCCGGATTTATATATAACAAAATATATAAATTGCATTTCAAAAAGAAGATATTTATCTGTGATGAATATAAAAAATTTTATGATTTTATTTTTAACACATTACATATTAGCCATAATTATTTCGATATGTTTTAACTTGATAAAAAATATATATCTATATAAAGTATTTAACTGTATATACTTATACGATATAAAATTATAGCAAATAACGGTAAAGCACAATTGTAAAGTTTTTTTTCTTAAATTAAAGTTCTCATTCTTCTTTAAAGATTTGTCAAGTAAGTACATATTTCAGTACATCGAATATGTCATCAGTGAGTAAACGATGTCACAAGTAAATATATATGTCTAGCATATTGGAGCATTATATTGATATAGAAGAATGATTCATTTGAACGCCGAAAATTAATAATATCTTAATAACATTTAAACACAATAAAGAAAAGAGAGGTGGAAAGAATACGGAAAGAACACGAAAAAAATTCTCAATTCACTTATAAATACCATTTTAGACGATTTATACATAGTTTGTGATAAAATTCTGTTTATAATTTTATTCTTAAAAATATATGTGTGTATTCTAATTTTCCTCCATAGTGTTCTCCGTATTACACGATACATAAAATTATAAACACAATTCTTTCTTGAGTTCTATGTATTATAAATCGTCTAATGGGTTCTACATCAATCATTGCGATTTCATGACCGTGAATAAATATACGAGCAATTTTGGGATATTAATAGTATTATAGATCCAAACCTCTCTGTTGATATTATACCAGGATTTAAAAAGTGTGAGATACCGATTACAAGAAGCTGCGCCTTGTATTGTTACCACTGCAGGTTCTGAATGGCCATCTGATAGGTAGGACTGTGAGCGGAGTAGAACTGCGAGTACCAACGCCGATATTCCCGGATGGCACGATCCTCACTCACCAGTATTGGCTGCCGCTCATACCTCTTATGATTCCAGATCACTACGTCGCGCTCAAACATTACACACTCGCCTAGGAAAACCAGATTGGCGTAGGGCGCCAACAGTGGCGGTGAAAAAATCTGATGGGTTACTCGTTGCAGCATCGGCTCGATCGGCGTGACCGTTTGCAAGATGCACACGGGCCCGAATGATGTATCGAGCAGCAGCTCGACGTACCCAGGACCAATCTGCTCGACGCGCACGTCTATGACAAGCACAGTGAAGCGTTCCAGCAAAGTCAAACTATGGCGCATTTGCAAGCCGGCCTTGTGCTTCTGCCTTCGGCCGATTCCTTCGTTCTCGGCGACTGGGAAATGATAATGATTCTTTTCGTCGCCGTTGCCGGCGATCGGATAATCGGTCAATTCGCTGTTCAGTTTGACGCGCACCTCCGCTTTCTTCGATGCCGAGCTAGCCAAGAGACGTTACTGGAGAAGAACATAGCTGGACCGTGCACAGCGTTGAGATGTGCAATGTCGGCTCCGTTTTCAGCTATCTCCTACATATGTAAAGTTTATTGTCAATTAGAAATACATTCTTCGAGATAAAAAAGTAAGGAAATAGAAGAATCAATTAAAAATAACTCTCCGTAGTACTTTTCAATGCTAAGTCTATCTAATCTATCTGTAAGCACTCTCGAGGCTAAGACTCTTTCAAATAAAATCAACAATTAAACAGATTATAATCAATCTATAATTCATCTATATTCACTTTGTTACATTATGCGAATTCTTTTCTTCTCTTCTAGCATCTTCCTCCTCCATATATAAAGAAATGACGGAGAGATTTTATATCGGCTGGAGAATCGAGAGTACGACAAACCTGTATGTGACAATTGATGAAGAACTCATTGCGACCTTGATAGCGCCATGTCCCATTGGAGATATGCGTTTGCGGCTGTGGCTGCCAATCTGGTTCAGCGGATTCAGCGTGGTACCAGACGAAGATGATGTGATTCACTTCGCGACACTTCCAGGCTTTTGCACGCGCAATTACCGGCACTGCGCGATATAAGAAAGAAAAAAAATGCGGCGAACAATTAAATATCGCTAGAATATATAAAAGAGATACGCAACGGTAAACGATCTCCATATTTGATTTCAATAATCAAGTAATGTAAATATATTCTATCGATAAGACATGTGATACTGTATACATTATTTAACTGTAAAATTGTAATTACATTATTTAACATTATTAAAATTTTAAATTAAAACAAAAAATGTTTGGCTAAATATTAATAGTACAATAACAAAACATTAAATAATGTCGATGCGCAAAATATCGCATTGCCTCTAAATATTTGCATTGTATATAATCGGGGATAGACTTTTAAAATACACAAACAGATATCTCGATGC